TCAGAGGAGAGGGGAAATGTATTCGATGCCTCCTCTTTCGCTACACTGCGAAAGCCACGAAGGATAGGATAGCCATCTGACCATAGTAAAATGAGCGCAGCTGATTTCTCAGCTGTTCGATTTTGATATTTTATTCTTTCCATTGTAGTTTGAAAAGACTTCGGATCATTTGTTTGACGCAGCTCTGCACGGTCAGACAGACTCCATTGATGGTGAGTGCAAGTTAGCATACCTCATGTTATAACACCAAAAAGGTTTCACGTTTCAGGCGTGTTGTGATCCAGAAATCTTGAAGCCTTCGCAGGGTTTCATATGTTAACAAAAAAATTGGAAAATTTACAATCCCAAGCGCATGATTTACCCAAGCGCGTGATATCATGATATGACACGCGATACGGGGCACGTATTATGCCTAGCACGTGGTATGGTGCACGTGGCTCGTGATATCGTTAGCACGTAATATCTTCGTTTGTTTGGTTTTCCTTGCCTTGCAGGTGTCAGCGAGTGTATTATTATGGGAATTCCTATGAGTATTGGTACAGGAATGTTCAAACTCCTTCACAAATATCCTTTTACGTGCTTGATGTTTTTGACGTTTTTGTCGAAGCTCCCATACTTCCAGTGATCTTTATATCAATTCTCATGAGTACTCTGGTGTTAACGTCTGTTTACTCCATCAGGAAACATTTATTGCTCTGTGAAAAAAAAAAGCTTGACTTTCAGCATTATTGTACTTCTTGGTATTAATTGAGAACAGATCCTTTGACCTTAGTTTAATATTAAATGATAACAATAAAAACACTTATAGAGCGCTGTGTCCACCAATCGTTCAGAGCGCCGTACAACAATGGTTAAACTACAAAATACAAAAGCTAATAGCTGTTATAATGAAGTTAACTGAACTAGTTTAGACGAACTATTTCATGGTTTATCCTTAATATTATTTGTACGCCAGAAAAAACAGGTCCACCGAGCCGGAGAAACTTAATTTTTGACAACCCTGCATTTCATTTGCCGGAATCTGCCATGGACGTGGTGAGGTAGCAAAAGGAATGAAAACGAACTTTGCACTTATATTTGAACTGATTGCGGTTATAAAGTTGTATATACAATTAAGAGCAATGTAATTAGTCTCAAGACTGTTCTTATCGACAATTCATCCCCAAAAACATTCCTTGAAAAATCCTTAATAGGCCCATGTCACAATGTGAAATTATTAGCAAAGTTAGCTCTTACACCAAAGTCCAAATTCCAGATACCTATATAAAAATCTGCTTTCTTACATAATGGGGAGCCTTGATCGTCAGAATAAAAAAAATGCATATGTTCAGAAAGAACGTGATTGATTATCATCGTTTTGTGTGATTCTGGCGTAGTATGTAACTCTTTACACCCTCACATCAGTATGCATTTTCTCCATACTGTTCTGCATACCTTTCCTGAGGTGCTGATGAGGAGAATTTGTCTAACAATCAAGAGCATCTTTCGTTGGTGATCATTTCTTTTATTCTTGTGACCTTCGTGTTTGATTCAGAGGTGATATTGTAAGGAGAAGTTAGATGCTCGTCACTCTTGGGGGCAAAAAGGTTCCTCCCCTTCAATCGAAGATCTATTTAATTTAGGCTTTCGTCTTGAAATACAATCCCCTTTTTGCACGACTGCTCGCTCTGACATGTCAAGAATGATTATAACATTGACTTCTATTGAACCCAAATGACATTGATTGTCGATGATTTATTACAAAACGAAGATAGACGACCCCATTATCTGAGCGGAGCCTGGGTGAAAAGAAACAATGCTGTGGCCAAGTTCACTTGAAAACAAGCTGACATTTGTTAGTAAAGCTGCAGATAATTATTTTTGTGTGTTTATATATTTTTATACAACTACAAACCGATACAAGTTAACGAAAATTTCAACATGTTTTTTTAAGTTGTTTATCAAAACAAATAATTGATGTTAGCAAAGTTTTTCATCCAATAAGTTGATAATTATCAGCTCTAACCGAGACTGTTAATTAATAAAAGCGTCTGCATAGGAATAGCTCTTGTTGCATACGTGTGGACGTGATGAACGCGTAAATTTTCAAGCGCCGAAATCGCATGCTTTCCACATTTTCTAAAGTTTTTTTTTTTGACAGAACCTGATTTTCCAGTGTTTGGCCGTTGCGTGAAAGATCCGAAAAAAAAACGGAAACCAGCGACGGCAGAATTTCGATGCGGGTTGTTAAACGCGGTTGGCGCTCAAATTCAGCACGTGTATATTTCAACTACTTTATTGAGAGAGACATTGATCCCACGTGGAGATAATTACAACAGTAATTTGCAGACATCAAAGTCCTTGCTATGGAACCCTTAATGTAGAATAACGCCTTGATTTCTCACGCGTGTGGATGATATTGTACATCCGAACTTACACTGTGCCTTCCCACCCTTCTGGGAGCCTTGATATGTTGTTTTATTTCCCTAGGCGCCAGCTAATCTATTGATAAGTGACAGGTATTTTGTTTTGTTCGTACCATCTTCAAATTGACGTGTTAAAGGGTTGGCTTGAAACAAGTGAAAATTTGCATTCGCTTGGAGGTGTGGGTTACTTTTCATTTGTTCCTATTAGTGAATAATTATTGCCCAAAAATTTTCAGCGCTGTTTTGAGCGATGTCAATTAAAAAAGGCATAAAATAGATGAGGAAAATTCAGTTGATTATGAAATTTTAGTTTGTGGAAAAGATGCATGTTAAAATGAAGGTTGTGTTTTCTACTTTGATGTTGAGCTCTTAAAAAGAAATTTAGCCGGCGTTGCACAGTTCTAAGATATTCTATACAGTCGCGTGAAATCCAGATTGATTTTGTTTTGAATGTCAGTTTTAAAAATAATAGTAAGGTTTTACAGTTGGCTTCCTTCAATTTTTTTTAATGTTCATTGAATTGACAACAACATGCGGAAATTCTGTTTTAAACCAAAATGCTGCAGTGTCACTTTCTTAATGAACTATAAAACTGTGTTTGGATTTCAGTTTTCAACCTGAAATAATTTTGTTGCTGTTGAAATTCACACCAGACAATCAAATCACAGCAGAAACTTGAATTAACTCATAGGATCTGTTTTATTCCGTGCTATTAATGCAAAGTTGCTAAGGAACAGAGTAAAGAATGAAGTTTCGTTAAATAAGCGGACATTGTTTTGTGTATCCCATTACTTCACCACGTGGTTTTAATTCGTGGACGCACGAAAAGTAAACTAATTTTCAAAAATTGTAGAGGTTAGTTCTGTTTCACTTTATCTTTAAAACTTGTTCGTAAAGATTGCACTCCTGTATTTTGCAACCTGTCTTTATTTATGCATTTAGTTTTCGGAGCAGCATCTTGAATCAAACTGTGATCGCAGGTCCTATATTGTTTAAGATACTGGTGATTAATTCATAGCCGACCCTAAAAACAACTCTTGGTTTGAATTGTTATTCTTGAAAACTTCCGCTTATTTCGAAATGTGCAATTTGGCATAAAAATTTATCATGATTTCTGTTGATGTATCAGCCGCCTTTTTGGCCATTGAGCCATATTTCGTGTTACTTGAACGTAACAATTCATAATCCTACACGTGGTCCAGAGACAAAGGGCGGTTAATTTAAGCAGTTTTAAAATTTAGGTGCTTTGATAAGTCTTTTCAATTGTCGCTTGCAACGAACCGCTTACAAAAAAATTTATGTTTTCATGATTTCCCCGCGAATTTAGTGAATAGGTACCTTCGATAAAGCCGTGGAGTTTACATGGGGGAATCTTGTGGTATTGTACACGAATTAACCAACAAACCAAGTCTACTTATGTTACAACACAATTACCGGTCAGTTCTGTTTGTTTTGGTCGGTGGGATTCGGTGTGGCAACTGTTTGCGAGACTTATCGCGCGCAAAAACGAGATAGGGGAAGAAACAGGTTGAACTGTCTGTTTCTTGTGCGTGGCTAGAAGGACATTAAAAAAAGCACGGATGCGTTTAAAAACTAACACGAAATCCACTACAGCTTGTTTAAAGACAATTTTTCATAATTGAATCTATTTCAGTAATATATTGACTCGGCTACAGCTGTACAGAATAATAAAGATACTTTCATTAATACAAGCTGTTGCATTTTACTTAGAGTCAACGGCAGTAGTATAAAAGAATTTAAAAATTCCATCCAACTTTTGAGTCTTTTTATTTTCATAGAAAAAGAGATAAAAACTTACGCGGTATCTACAAATTTGATTTTTACACAGATATAAAGTTATATAATTTTCATTAATCGTGAGCAAAGTCTTGGAATCCTTTCAGGTATACGTCCAGCTCTGAGCTTTTAATACCATAGTGATCTCCCATCTGCGAAACGACAATAAGAGGAAATTAGACCTCGCATTTCATCTCAATGGAATGTGCTAAATCGAGAAGTTCTTGTGACAAAGTACGATTTGACTTAACTAATGAACTCCAAGCGGGAAAAATCATTTTTTCGGATTGTAACTGCGTAGTGAGTTTACCTGAAATTGATCCAGAGTTTTTGGGACGACAATGGTAACCGCTTGGTCGTGCATTAGAACGCTAGGAGTTCCGCTTCGATTTGGTGTGATGGATGCTGCAACTTCCACTTGTGGAAGCTGCCCCGCTAACATCGCTGCAGACTGAGATCCTTTCAAATAACAACTTAACATGGCTATGTAGTCGATAGCCATACGTAGTACTTCAATTTTGGAAAGTTTCTGTGGGTTTTGATCAACACACGGGACCTTCTTCCGTAAAAGTTCCAAAGCGTTGTTCAAAACATGTCGCCGTTTTCGTTCTCTGGCGCTTGCTTTCAACCGTCTACTACGATCCAGCTGTGCCCATTTCCGATATCTTGAATTATCTGCCGCATTCACTTCCTTACTTGAGGAAACAAGCTGGTCGCTTGCGTTATTTTCTTCTTTTGTCATACTTTTTTGCTGCACAAATGCTCCGCTTCACAGATGCTTTCTTTTCTTCCCGGTTCTAGTGGCTGGACCCTTCTCCTCTCACTGGCTCCTTGCCTATTGTTGCCTGTAACTCATCTTTCTTAGACTTTTCTTTGCAGCACGCGTGTATGAGACGTCTTTTACATAACAATACGTGCACACGCTTGCCGCCATGCGCGTGCTCCGCCACAAAGCTTTTGTTGCGGTGTCAATCACCCGAAATTGATGTATATTCTGACACTGAATAGGTTCAGTGGATTTATATCTCGCAATTACATCCATTTGAAGCTTTGATATGATTTTAAGCAAGCGAGCAGAAGTACTGGAATAAACAACACACAATTGAAGAAACGCTTTGTTAAAATTACATTCGCTGTGAATGATTCGCTACTTTTTGTCAGTAGTTAATGTAAACTGGCACGAATTCGAGTCATTTGATAACTTAATTTAGTTTAACCGTTTAGTGGAAACAAAAGATGAGCCGAAACAGTATCTTTTTCCCTGAGTGTGGCCTAAGATTTTCCTGACTCTCGTTATTTCCCTCGAAGTTTATCAACGCTATCAAGAGAGGGCCTTTGAAATAAACCTGTTAAGTGGAGTCCTGAATTTGTTTGAAACTTTTGCCATGTCATTGATTGATCAGAATACTGCCTTTATTTTCAACTATTTGGGCCTGTTTTGCTACTAAAACAATCGCTGTTTAGTAGTTCTTAAACAGGTCTTAATTAGAAAAATGTAAATGGAATCGATTTAAAGTTGCCTTAAATCACATTAGTTCCTCGCGATATTTAGTAAGAGAAGTTGTATTGAAAGTGTTAGAGAACTATTAATCCTTTGCGGAAGTTAAAAATATGTAGGGAAGTCTTAGCACGAGGTGCCCGGAAGAATTAGCAACTCTCAGCTTTATATTCTGTAAAATTTCTTTGTTCGAATACGCTTTGTGCGGGCTTCTCAAAATTAACAGCTAGTAAACCCCACGTGTTTCAATGACAAGCTAGCCATGATCTGGGTTAATCAACTGATAACACTGTTTACTTAAAAAATCGGCATTTTTGTGATATTGATATTAATTCGCCTTATACTTTTATCGCGTTTTGACTGAACACGCCATGAAGATCAATAAATTACTGATTAACTATTGTTAATTGTCAGCATTTCAATTTTCTGTTCAAAGTTTAGTGCGTTTAACGCGTATGTGATGTGCATTCGAAAAACTCAGAAATAAATGAAGAACATTATCGTGTGGATGATGTGGTCTTGATTTAAGGCCAAATATTCAAGAGTCGCCTTTAAAGTTTAAAGTTGAGTTCCTGTTGACTTCCCACATGTTGGGAAGACAATTCGCGCAAAAGCTCTGCTCAGACTGTTTCTCGACCTTTAAAGTTTTTCTTAGATTTATAATTGCGAGGTTAGCTTTCCTTTGACTTGAGTGAATCGCTTTATTCCAAGACAAAGTGTACCATTGTCTGTTCCAGAAGTACTCCGGCACAGAGCTATGATAAATAATGGTAATTGAACCTCGTGTCGGGCAATTTTGTTCTGAAATCATACTTGTGATTTCAAATCACGCGTATGATTTCAGCCCAAATTGCACTCCACTCAGTTCAATTACCACTTTATTACATCCATTTTGAGATCGCCCAACTACAGGACTTAGTTAGTTCAAATATTTCATTGATGCAGTACTAAGCCGGTCTGAAATTAAATTCATGTCCCATTTTTAGGGGGGAAAAAGTAAGAGTTTTGGAAACAAAAGTTGCAAAATTTGCCACATGATACTCTTTGTCTTTCATTTTCTTGCAATTTGATTGGTTACTTTAAACAAGCCTTAAAATCTGATTGGTTGTTTTTTTTTTAGTGTAGTCTCATGGGCTGGGAAAAAGATGCGATTTAAAGCAAAAAATGGTGCGATTCGTGAATAAATCTCATCAATTAGAGCCAATCAGATTACAGGGACCACCAGTGATTTCAAAATGGGTGTAATAAATAGTACAATTGCTTCCCGCGAACCTAAATCATCAGACCATTTGGTTTTGATTTTCGCGCTTTTTTGGTTTTTCAGTCTGGTTTTCGTGTCATCGTGGAACTTTTACCTTGAGAAATTTTATTTTGCCTCGATATGATGGTGTTTCAGTGGAAACATCTTTTGCGAGCTCAAAACAGATTTCTCACAACTAATGTCCGACAAAAAGGGGGCTTCAGTAAGTTGCCTATACGAATTAGCCTGCACAACAAAAAATAGAAACGTATCTTTGTTTCATTTCTGAGGCTGCTATTCTTTCTTTTTTCTGCTGACTGAAGGTTGAAAAAATTTGCTTTCATGTAACATTCTTGAATTAGGCACTGAGTTTTTGACTTTGAAATAAGACTGATGTTCTGATAAATATGCCTCTTAATTAGGGCTCTATTATGACTGTGTCGATATTTTTTGCGTGAGTTTTATCGTATTGCCGTATAACTTTGTCAAACTTTGCAGGGGTTGAATGAATTTCAGTTGTGACTTTCATCATATTTTGATTTCCACTGATCAACATGCACACACAAAATTATGTTTCTTTACAAGCTATGATCTTGTATTTTTTCGTAATATTTTTCTTAAACTCCGCTATTTGCAGTCATAATAATCCTGATCAAAAGATTTTCGTTTAAAAAAGTATGTATTCTTCCTACCGGCCATGTTCAGGAGAACTACGTTTTCTATCCCACGTTGCCAATTTATTTTGCCCGTTTCAAATTTGCGACAGCAACGACAGTGGAACACAGCTAGAGCTTTGGTTGTTTTCACCCTGGAAACGTTTGAAAAGATTTATGTTCACGTTTGAAGTCGAAGGAAATGTTCAGTCCCCACTGTAGCGATCACCGGCGGCCCAACGGTTAAATGAAGCATATTTGGGCATGTACCTCCAAAATGTGTAAATAACAGTGACCTTCGTTTGTTCGAAAATTTCCTTTTTAAGATGTTTTCCGTCCACATTAGAATTTAAAGTTAGCTTTTTCAAATGTATCCTCTTTGAAGGGTGTTTTTGTTAGTGTTTTCGAAAAGCTTCAGTTTTGGCTGACAAGATATCCAAGTTAGAATGAAGTTAGGGCTTAACTGTAGAAACGATGTTGTGTTTTCGAGGCTATCATGCGTATATTAGCGGCCGGTTTAGACTTCTGCAGGATTCTTGGTCATAAATCCTGCTATTATCATTAGGATGAGTAATCTCGCCGGAGGCGGCGTGTGTAAGTGGAAAGGGACAATGAAATATTGCCTTTTTTTATTCCATGTAGCCGCCAATCCATCAACCACCTCCAAAGTTTTTATTTAAGCTAGCACGAAAAAACTTCATATTTTGATTTCGCTAAGAAATGATTTGATTGTTACATGACTCCAAGAAATTCCTCGATTGTTACATAACGTTTTTGTCAGCCAAGATATATTTCTATTTTCCGCATTACAAAGAACCCAGCTGTCATTCAAGTCGGATATAATTGCCCAACAGAATAACTGACGTACTTGTCGCACCAGAAAACATGACAACCTTTTGATCAGTTACCTTGGTAACATGGTTCAACAATCTATTTCTATGCCTAACTGTGTGCCTGTTGACGTTGGTCTTTTTCTCCGAAGGTCATGTCAACAACCTCTTTGTTTTTTAAGTGCATTACAGGCTCATTCCATGACATGTTATTAAGTTTACCAAAGAAATTTCTGATCAATTCATGGCAATTTCTGTCATTATTTGCATCAGGTGTCATATGTCTTATTATGACATTCCGTGACGATCACATTTCAACATTTGCCATTCAATGCAATGTTAAAAACATTGATTTATACTTGCCATGGTTACCAGCCGTTGAAGCCGGTTATTCGTCACTTTATATTATTTTTGCTGATCAAAGACCCCTTTAAAAAAAAAACAGAAAAACATTCTGTCTCTGTGACCTCACCCTGTATGGAAAAAAAATACTCTCCCCTTGATTTCCGGACTTTGGTCTGTTACACTATCGTTTGAGGTTGCTGAAATTCTTCGCAAACTATAATACAGCTACGCCTTCAAACTCCCCGCCCTCCCTTCTCTGGCAAGCTGCCCCCACACAAACGCGATTAGGATACCAGATCTTGGAAAGGGGAGAAGTTTTGTTTGTTGGAAATCATTGTGTTGTCGTGAAAAGGTTTGGTAACCAAGATAACAATACAAACATGTTGTGTTTCCCTTGGCAAAGAGAAAACACGGTAACCAAAACAAGGTATGTTCTTACGTTCTTATGTGTCAGCCACTCAATAAATACTACCCAATTATTTGCCAACCGAAGATCAATCTTACTCAGGTCCTCAGAATCAAGGAATTTTTTAGTGCAATAAGTCGACAGTCGAAGAAAGACTAGAATGGGTTCTGTCGTTTCACAGCTAAATCAGCATTCTAAGAAAAGACAAGCACTGAGGCAACTACGAAAAAATATGCGGCATGTTCAAAAGTTCAACGTAAAGAACTTGACAGGGAGAATTCCTCCTCGATGTCCGATGGTAGTAATGAAGGAGATGGGAAAGGAATTGCGAAGACTTTATCCAGATGGATCGAATTGATGAGGAGCTATACTTTACGAACCCCATTTTGTGACTAAAGCAGCCTGAAGACGACTAGAAGTTCGTTTAGACCGCGGAAATGAACTGATAAACTTTATAAACCTGCCACACAAAGATGTAAAGTCGGATTGGTTAAACTGATGACGAAAAATGTACGTTTCTGATATCATGTTTATTAAAAGCACTAGTCACTTTGATGTTCAATTTGTCATCGTAGTGAATTGTTGCCTCCGTTATTTTGCTTTACACGGAATAAGAAGTCGACTTTAGAATTCAATTTAACACAATGACTACCAGTTTTTGTCGATCATATCATCTTAGTTTGATAAGATAGAAAAACGCTGAAGAGGCAATAGTAAACCAAGAAGGAACAACGAGGGAAACGATGGAAAACACTGGAAAGAATTAAAAACGACGAACGTATAAAATGTAGGTTAATTCTTAGACTAAAGTATAAAACCTGTTCCTACCTTTAAAATTATGAATTCATTTCTTTCCAGTTTTACCAAAGTGGCTAAGTGTCACGTATTTTGGAAATAGCCGAACTAGAGAGCAAAAATCGATTTTCCTCCCAATCCTTGTTAGCGTGGAAACTTGCGCGCTAATCGTTAACCTCTTTCGATCCAGACCTCTCGCGTTCGCAAGCCAAGTACTAAGATACAAGTTGTTTTATGGTTACGACATGTACCCTCTGACGCGAACCTTATGTTTTCATTGCTGGAATTTTTGTCTTTAATTGAACTGTTGAACAATTTTCATGACAGAAAGTTAACTGAGATTGCAGCGAACGATGTCAGTGTTTTTTTTCTCTTCTTCATTGTCAGATTGTGGCTCCACGTGGGAATGAAATTTATCCCGCAGGGTTTGAAACGACTTGATCCAAGTTAAAAACTGTCAAACTGCAACTGACCAATGCTTGCAATGCATCGTTTGTGTTTATCAGTTTTAATTTTTTTTTTGTTATTAAAAAAATGTATGTTCTGTTTAGTATATATAATCAAAGAATTGTTTTGTTTTTATACTCATTGCTCCATAATTTGTCAAAAAACTGAAATAAGAAAAACTCTCGCGCTCCCCTGTCATCAAGTTAGATGGCAACGTAACTTAGTTACCCACCGTAGTGGGTAACCAAGTGACTTTTTACTCATGTCCTTATTTCCTACTCTGAGTTCTCATAGCTTCTTGTGATGTCCACCCTTTTGATAGACCTTTTTGATTAATAATTTTTAGAGAAATAATTTTTTCACGCTCGGTCCCATTTTCCTAGGTTGGCTGCAAATTGGTCACGAGAGGGCCTTCTCCATTCTTGTAATTGCTATCACATTTCCAGTTTTTCACGTTTATAACGATGTTTTTGTAACTTACCTTCCAAATGGGAAACGTCACCCCATTCTACGCCAGTTATGACTCTCTCAGCTCGAAAGTAAACGAGAAGACCTGGGCACTAGTCAACTGTCACATAACACATGCGGTCAAAGCCTTCCCTTTGCGCATGCTTACTAACGCAATTTAAAGATCTTTAAACGCAACCTGTCAGAACAAAATTGTTATGAGCAGTTTCGGAATTGCTGTGTGGACTAGGCGTCGTAGAATTTGATATATACAGGAAAGCCCAACATTAAAAGAATCGAACTAGCAATATGTATCCGCCGTTTATTTTATTTGAGGACGAAAGAACTCGAGAAGGCCTTTATTTCCAGTAACCGGGGTTCTTTTAAGCGGACAGTGTACACTTCTTCTTTGGTATCACTGCTTCTAAAACATATCGGATAATGCAGGATTGTTTTGTTTTTGCTTATCTTCGCTCTGTGATTGGTCCAGAAAACTCGTTAAGCCAATAATAAATGAAGACCGACATTTTTTTCGGTTTTCACACTGTGTGCTTCTCTCGTTGTTTTAAATTCATTTATTTTCAATTCGGATTAATTTTTACCACTGTTTCATTTCTTATTAGTCCGATATCCGTCGCTGTTTATCAAGTAATGTTCTCTTCCTAACACCCAATTATAGACAAAAACGAAAAAAACAGAAGAGCACGCATTTGAAGAGCAGTAGAATTGTTTGTCTCTCAGCCGGCAAATTACAACGATTTAAAACTTTTAGAATATTCTATACAGTACAGTATATATTCTATACAGTTTGGTTATCGACAATTTCTCCAATACTCTTGTTCGCTAAACTGGAATCAAATGGCACGCGGTGAGTCTGGCTTGAAAACTGATAGCTAATACAGCAAACATAGCTATGATGTTTATCCCGGCGATGAACATTGCGAAGTTTATGAAAGGAATCGCTTTTTATGCCTGTTGTCCGATGAGACAACTCAGTGATAATTTATTTGACCCAATGTTTGTTCAGCGTGCCGGTTTTGTCAAATAAAAACGAACGCGAATTTGAATTCTTTATTTACAAGGCTTGTTACGCTCGGATCGTTTTGAGCCTAGATCTTTCAGGCTAATATTATTGTGCTAAATTGTCGTCGAACTTTTTAAAACATCGTTGTGTTGCTACGCTAATAGGGCTAACACTAGTCTTACTTTTCTTTCGTGAATATTGGGGAGATGTAAGAATTTCTGTCCATTTGAGAAGCTTGCGACAAATTTCGAAACTACCTATGATATGATAATGCTGGAAGTTGTCTTTTTAAAATGTATGTTTCCAATATTTCGGCAAACATCCGATTTTCAATGGATGTTGGGAAAATATTGGAACTTTTAAATGGTATCAGAAAATTAGCACGATATTTTTTCTTGCATTTTCGTATCTGCGATCCATAAAAATTGATACAAGACAGCCGCAGACAGTTGAAGATATCGATCACTCAAGGCAGTTTTAAAAATACGCCCTTCCATTCTTTGATCATCATTGATGCAAATGGCTTATTTGTAAAACAATTGGTGGTTGCTTTCGGACAAATTCAGACCAGAAAAAGAGTCACAAAAACACAGCACCTGCCTGTAGACTTGGCACAAAGCTCGATCCAACAAAAGAAATTTACTTCGAATTCAGAACATGAAAAAGAAAGCTTTCCGAAACATTAAGCTATCTTTAATTTGGCAAGGAATACCGGTTTGAAAAGGATGCATTGCTTCGTAATGAATTCAGTCCATTTTAGAAAGGTTTTTATTCTCAAAAGACGCCATTAGTGGAAAGTAATAATGCAATTAACAAACAAAATTTTCACTGTCACCACACCTGTTATGCGCAGCGAAAAAAAGCCATTTGTATGCGGCGAGAAATGACATTTGATGTGTCACGCTTGCTTTCGGTCAACAATCGTTTAGAGCTGATTGTGAATGAGTGTTTGCCAAGCTCGATGATAAACAATCTCGGAACTCTTTGTCTTTTGGTGGCAGGTGGTGTTTAAAAAATGCTAATAGAAAATGACAGATCTTCGGATGTTAGAAGCACAAGAAAACATCGCACTGTGAGGCAAGCAAAAGGAAACCAGGTGTTTCAAGTGAGAAGCATACTCGCTAGTAAGCAGCGGGGCGATCGACTCGTCCTCCCATTCACTTCTAAAACTTGATCATCGCAGTGCTTCGTCGGCGAAAGCCCTGAAAACGTTATCAATTACCACGAAAAGCCGCAAATTAAGGGCACCAGGCGCAAAAATCTCTCTTCTCCAGCTTCCATGTGTGAAATTACGGCGATAAATACGGTATATGCACAGTCCATGGGATCTCTTAACTACAATTCAAGTATTGCGAAAGAAGCAACCAGCGATGGACCTGCGGAGCCGAAAACACTAACAGCGACTCAAGAAGAAGAAAGTGAAGAAAACGTGGCAAGCGGCAAAAAGAAGAGGGGACAGAGTGTTAAAAAATCCCGCTCTAAGCTCAAAAAGGTATTGTCTTGGCGTCAGTCAAACAGATCACGTCGATTGATTGCGAATGCAAGAGAGCGCTCTAGAATTCATATTATGAGTGAGGCTTTCGAAGGATTGAGGCGAGCTGTGCCCAGCTATTCAAGTGATCAGAAGCTTTCCAAGCTCGCAATATTGAGGTTGGCAACGAGCTATATCTCGGCATTGTCTTATTTGGCAGAGAACGATACATCTACGAAATCACTTAAACATTTTGCCGAGTGCGTTGATAAATGTACTCAAGCATTGCAAACGGAAGGCCGAACAAGACGAAAAGAGTGAGTATCAGAAAACGTTTTTCTTCCAATGCAAGAATATATTTTTTCATTTTCGGGTTTCCTTTAACGATGTTTTCCTTTTTGTGGCCTTTTAAACCTATTAATTATATTAAAAAGTACCGAATCGCCGCAAAACATATTTGCAAGTGAAAAGCGTAATTTATAAATAGATTATAACTTGTAGAAAATATACCAAAATTGATCTCATTTTCTCTTTCATAATTCTCTTTCCATGGCGCCTCGCAAGAAAAAAAACATGGCTCAATTACTGTGATGTTTTTATGGTTGCCCTATAAAAATATCCAAGGTACTTTTAACGCTAGGCTTTCCGGGGTCTTTGTACTCTTATTTAGATTTTTATTAAACGTTAAAAGGGCTTTTACAAGTAAAAATTGTAATCAAAGCCGGCGGGAAGGTTTAAATCTCATCAGGCCTTTTAATGCTTTTCATCTATTGATCTCGAAACGCCAAAAAACCAGAATCGAATTCGCTAACGAACACCTGGACTTAAGTTGAAGTAAACTTCTACGTTGTTGTATATTAAAACTCTGGCTTTAACCAATGAAATTGTCGCAAAAGTTGCAACAAAAGAGCACTAATTACAAGACTACACCTGCTTTGCAAACACATTGGAGAAAATCATTCTGATGAGAGATAAATCCATGCGGTGGAAAACAGGAACTTCAAAACGGAACCTTGTTTTTGCTTGAGAACCTTCCAATTAAATTTCGCAGAAGCGACGAGAAAATTCACTGAATTTATTCGTTGTTTACATTTTAGCGGTAGCAGGTTTTTTTAAAAGGTTTAGCCGGATTTAGGTGTTAAATAGACTCCTGTTTCCAAGAAAAAGGTGCAATTTACGAGTGTAATAATTGAAATCTCGAGTGATGTGCAGGAACAGAAAAAGTAGTGTGCGCTAGTAACATTTAAAACAAATAGAAATATATGTTCACTTAACGTCATATTTTATTTTACAGGGCGAAAAAGACAGTCAATGAAGACATAATTACAGACTGACGTGGGTAACCAAAAAATACATAAATAATCATAATTCGGTCCAAGTTTCATCAACCCTCCCCCGCGGTGACAGTCAAAAGAAAACAAAAGAAAAGTGAAACAAGAGTTTTAAATTAAATCATTATAACAAGTCAAAACCAATGAATTATCTTAGTCCGTATCAATAGCTTACTTGCAAAAAAGGAAAAAAAGCAAATTATATTTATTTTACCTGTAAATATTCAAGTTACATAAAGCGGATTTCTGTAAGATCGAACAAGTTGTGGGAAAGTTAGATATTAAAATAATATTTGGTTGAAGATGTGTGCAATATAGTCATTCTTTTCAGAAAAGGTCTTTTAGTACTCCACTAGAATACCAAATATTCTCAGTCCTGTTTAAGTTGTATTGTTTCCGTCTCTCGGACGGAAACAGTACGCGCACGCCTTAACTATGCGACCGATACTATGCTCAGATAAAGGCATAGAATATACTTCGGAAACCAGAAGCCGAGAAAACTAGAAAGTGAACTGACAATGGAATGATTAATATCTTATTTCATGGTTTTATAAATAGTACCAGCGGAAATTGTGCTCATTTCTCGTAGGTTTTTTTTCGCCTCTACGTGGCTCGGAGCAAGATACTTAGCAACTCGCAAAATATCTGCGCAAATTATATGTTAAACATATTGTCCATATATAGTCCCTTGCACAAGTCGTTATAGACCTCGAGAGACCACGTGATATTCCTTTACCACACGCGACTATCACTTGATAGACTTAGTAGTGAACTTTACTCCCAGTCGACGCGGTAAGAAGTGGAAGAAAGTCAACCCTCTCCTTTTGATCGATTATCGTTTCCTGTTGCTTGGTAGCCTTTCAGTTTTTTGCTCTCTTTCCAAAAATAACGACTGAAGAAGAACTTCGAACGAATATAGATAGAACTGATGATGTTTCTGTTAACAGTGTTTTATTTCAGACATTGACAAGGTTTACTCAAGATCTAATAAACTTTATCATCCGTTGTCAAAGCGTCTTTTTTACTTATGGGTCACCAAGCATTTGCTTTTACAAATGATTATAAGGGCAGTAATGTTGATGCAAGGATCAGTTCCATAATTCGCAAGAATTTCTGAAGTTAGTTACCTATGACCTTTAATTAAGGAGAAAATTCATATTGAACACTGAAATAAAGCCAGTTTCTCAACTTTCTAACTTCCTTATACCCTCAGTTCAAGTGAAAAGTGTGTTATAAAAACTTCACATAAAATTTCTAAGACCACATGCAACTTTGAACTGAAGGTTAAACACAACTTTAACGCAGTGGCAATGATATCAAGGAGATAGTTTAGTGATCTCTCCAACGAAGCAAAATATGATGAATTTTTAAAGTCAATAGAAATAATTGGTTATTACTTGACAACTCATTTGTTACCTGATCTAATGCGTAACTTATGAACTTAGTAATTCTGTTTCTAGATACGACCTTCTTTACTGTAAAATCTCTTTCTTGCATTCTCGCAGTGTGCATCGCATTGGACGTAAAGTTTCTAGTTAACCTTGAAAATCAATGGAATCTAAATGCTGAACTTCTGTATGACTCGTGAATTCGGCTGGAAAATTTCCCGTAAAGCTCCGCTACAAAAGATCAAGTTTCTCTTTGTCTTGATTTCCACGTTATTAAGAATAACGAAAATGAAGCCTTTCGGTTGAAACTCTTTGCAATAGCAGCAAACAACTTCGGCAGCTTATTACAAACTTACTATTCTTTTGAGCAAATAAGATTTTGCAAGCAAAGAAGACATGAATGTAAAATATTTAACCCTTACACCGTTTCTACGGAGCTAAAAAAGCTACGAGCATGTCGTCAACTCGAAATGAATTGGCAGGATATTCTTGGCATTTCATCTGGATAACTCTTTTCCCTCTTTCTACCCCACTGCTTATTTCTGTAAAGCCTATTCTCTAACCAAACCTTCCTCTAAGCCTCTAGATTGTTGAAGGTCTGTCGTGAATGTAACAGAAGTACAAACTGAATTCATCACTGAAGGATCTGTCATGATGTCAGACTTGTGTTAGTGATTGAGTAAACCTCCAGAGCTTCGGTGAGAGAAAGCTCTTCGCAGTGAGGGCCGACAAATTCTTCCAGAGTACCGCACCAAAAACCTGAAAATTAAAAATTCTCAGGGTCGGTAAACGTCGCTAAATGTTGCAAAAGTCAAACAACTCGTTGTAAATTGCTCATCAATGAACAGTGCATATATTGACCAGATCGATTACGTTTAGAGGGTTTTTTTTTATCGGAAGATCGTGCACCATTTATGAAGTAAGCCGACTTAGAAGTATCCACCACAGGAAATATATGTGTGTTAAGACCACTCAGACTTCAAAACTAAAGAGAATGTGTTGATATGTAATTTTAAAAAGCCGTTTTATCGTGTTTACGTTTCATAGCGTAGCCGGTGTGTGAACGGCGGAGCACACAATTTCCTTTGCCAGATTGAAGTGGATTACTCCAAGAGTTGAAGCTCCTTTCTACGTTAAAACTGTTTGCTCGCGGTAACACCAAATTACACAACTTTTCTATGCTGGAGACTCATTTACCCCCTTGAAGCTCGCAAATTATCGTTTTACCCCAAGGGTAGGTGATAAATTTGCCACCTTTTCAAACGAATCGGCATTAAACTGTTGGCGAACGCAAGCTTAATTGTGTACACTTAAATTACGTAAAGTTTACGTTTACTTACTTTCATTAGAGAAAATTCCCTCGGGAGAACCTTGTGAATCAAGTTCTGCACTGCTGGTGTTTGAAGAAGTTTCCTCATCACTTAAACGTTGTCGTTTGCTCGTGGCGTCTTCGTCTTTTTCGCTTTCATCGCCCGAATCCTGTTCCAAGATGTTCTCGAGGACATTTATGTAGTGAATAGCTAGTCTCAAAGTGGCAATCTTGGAGAGTTTTTCTTCTCCATCGTAGCTTTCCTTTGGTATAACGTTTCTTAGCTCTTCAAATGCTCTGTTCAATTTATGCATTCGATTTCTCTCTCTCACCGTAGCGCAATCCCGACTTGACCTCAAATGTGGGTACTTTCGTAACCGCGCCGAATCTCGAAAGCAGTCGCTGCATATTTCATCTCCATCCTCCTCAAAATTGGCCAATTCTGCGAGCTTATTCCGGGCCTCGCAGGACTTATGACGAAGGTGGTAGCGTTTCTTCCCATTTTCGTTTCTTGTAGAAGCTTCCATCGCTGTTTTGTAATCAAACTCTCTTTCACTGTCCTCATATATGACTTGACTTGGCTTTTCTTGCATTCTTGAAGTTCTGCAAGCTCCACCCCTCCAATCAGACCTTATTAAAGAGTTCCGATGCATGTCCTTCATGAACGTCATCTGTCATCATTTCAACCAATCAACGCTGAGCTTTTGCGGTGCGAGGCCAATTTCTTGACCTCCGATTACGGCCGCAACAGTGCGAAGTTTTTTGGAAAACGACCAAAAAATATCTCTGTTTTGACGGACCGCCAGGGCCGATACTTAATATTTGACAGATTAACGCGTCCTTGTACATCTCTCTCACTTCTACAAAGAGGTCTTTGCAAGATTTTTTTCGACGACGGAAAGCTGTCAAGGGTGATTTATTAGTTTTTAATTATTGCATGACAGGATAACATTGTCGAGACTGAGACTATTGATTTAGCTAAATCATTTACCAACCTTTGTTCTAAATTTAAACATGATTGTGATGTTGAAATCTGACCTCGTGCCAGATTTCCTTGACAAAATCAAGAGGGTTTTTCCTTTAATTGTGCGAATACACCAACGTGGAAGAACTTTTACCATAACTGGGCCTGATACTGAAAAATATCACTAAGCGAGTCAATAACTGAAGTAAACAAAACCCCCCAGTCATCAAATCTTTCTCAATAACAACCGTATTTACTTGAAGGATCTAACACATAAAAAATTATTCCATAATGTTTTCCATGTGCTTGAAAATACGCAAATATGCAGCTCGGAAGGTCGGTAAATACACTGTGATAACATGCTCTGGCAATTAACGAGGTTCATTGTTTCAATCAAATTGACACAGTGTACCCGCAGATTGTCGATTACCTACAGACCGTTCAAGTCCAAAGGGGTCCGTAATTGGGGAGGCGGTGCTCCATATTTATTCTGCCTCCTCGGAAATGCTCCTTCTGTGCCGCTGAACGAATCTTCTCGATGCTCCACTTAGCTTAAGCGGCCTTCAAAATGATTTTATCTCATCCTACTTGACTTTTTCGATTTACTTTCGATAATATGTCACTCGGAAATATGTCTTTTCGCTTATCCGCGAGGAAGCTTGGCGGAAATTCTTCAGGAGAATCAACCCAATTGCACTAGTTAGTATGTTCTTGTGATTGACAATCTCGAGTGTCTGGTTGAAAATTTTTTATCAAATTTCCGGCAGAATTATTTTGACGGTTTTGAGGTTTTGGTTATGTATGTAACTTGGCGATCGGTGATAAATGTTGATTGTTAGATAGTGAAGGATATAAACCAATTCTGAGATTTGTCTTAACAATTACTGAAAGTAAATACATTAGGGCCGATTTTATACAGATAATCGCGAGAAAATTATTCCGTTTTGCAGCATTTTATTTCCATTTTCGTAAACACCAGGAGACAAAAGAGTCATTCTTGCTTGGCTTTTACAGGGACGTCGACGTTTTTTTCATTTGTAAACAAAGGGTTGCGTTGGCTAAATTGGATCATTACCAGCACCGTTCATGATTATGAAGTCAGCGTTATCCTTTGAACAGGTTACATAGGATACAAAACATCTACAAGTATTTATTGCTGCTCATGAGTTATCGTCATGAAAATTACTCTAAAGGTTCTCTCGACGCTTTCATTTTCGTTAGACACAGGAAAGGAAACTTATCAAACAATATCAACACTTTTCCGAGCAGAAAGGTGATTAGAAGACAGAAAAATATCACCTTTCGGCATATCGTTTGATTTGACAGCAAATTCTCTAAGCTATTATTGTAGGACAGATGTGTAGAGAATTAATACCTGGATCTAAGGAATAATCTTAATGAAAGGGTGAAAGTACCTTTCTTTGTTTGTCCTGCTCGCAGCTGTTGTTCGGTCTCGTTATGCTTGACGAAGACCTAACAACGGCTTCGTGGGACACTACATAAAATTAAAATTGTGTGTGCCTTTTTAAAAATTATTATTCCTATGATCGACGTTGTCACGACACAAGAACGTGATTCATTTGGTGGACAGTTTTAGCACAGACTGACCACTTCGTGAGTGTGATGACATGTAAAGACGTACGACACAAATATAGAATATGTATGACTCTCCCGGAATAAATCACTGAAAAGGCGTTTTAAACGGCTCAGAGAGGAAAAAAACACTAGTAACTTTCGGTGTCTTAATGTTTGTTTTCACTTAACTGAGATTTTCAGACACAATGCTTTAAAAATTTTATCAATCAGTGCTTTATTTGTAGCCACTGTACAATGTATCTTTCAGTAATATGTCTTACATGTCAACATACTCTCAAGGGTGGTCCGTCTGTGCTAATATAAACGTTCACGGTCAAGTATGTATCTTACCAACGTCTCAGAGAACAATAGTTAATAAAAAAAGCGTTCAAAATTTTTACATTCATGTTGTGCCCTTCGCAGCCGTTGGTTGGTCTCCTTCACACGTAACGAGACCAGAAGACGACTCTGAGAAGGACTAACAATAAATGTAACTTTCACTCTCTTGAAGAATTTAGAGTCAAATCAAACGATGTGCTTTAACATTTCCAGGGTGGTCCACTTGTGATCTAATCGGCGAATACCAAGACGAAGTTATTTTCAACTTAGTCTCGGTTTAGACACTAAACTTGTTATGAAACGAAAACCTTGAATTAATGATAGGCGAAAAATTCTGATCCAATTAGGAGAAGCTCTTTTAATCTGAAGAGGCTCGGCTCTTCTTTACGGGAGGCTTGGCTGGGAATTTCGACTTTGGAATGGCTTTGATTCAGACGCCGAACCTATCATGTGCCAAGCGGATCATTCTTTGAAAATTATCGACTGCCTTACATTTAGTCTATTTTAAACCCTGCACAGCTGCTGGGTATTGAAACACAGCCGATGTTTTTGCCTACTATTGCTGAAAAACTCCTAAACGATGTCAGATACCGATGTCCTGCAACAGGACGGCAGAAATAGTTTGACGTCTGACGCAATAGGCGTAGTTTCCTTATCATTTTAGTCGGCTCAAATTAAATTAACTTTGACGGGGAGAAAATAATAGTAATTATTTTCTCTTGCTTCGACTGATGTTAAAAAAGGGGCTACATAGTCCGGCTGAGGGACAGCATTTCTATCGTTTAAGCGGATATCTGCGTCGGGTAAAAATACCGACAGTGTGGAAGAAAAAAAATTAATTTTGGTACGATAGAATTACACCAAAGTGGGCAAAAAAAACTTAGAAGGAGCAAAACTGGTCGAGGATGGCTAAGATTGACACAGTTTGCAAAAACTACTTATCTACTTATCTTGTTTTATCGTTTTTTATTTGTTTGTTGAAGTTGATCTTTGAGACTGGTTTACGGATGGTGGCCTGTACAAACAATGACAAAGCCAGACCACGATACTGGGAGCCATCTTCCATACTCGATGCGAGAAATGCTTGAGGTCTTTCACGTCCCCACCAAAGTGTAGGAGATGGGACCTACGGTTTATCGTACGAGAAGACAAGAGTATCTAACCATTCGCAGATGTCATAGCAAAGGCAACACGTTCTCCTCAGTTGTTTTAAAGACCTTGAGTGTTGATCCTGCCTCGACCTCTCGTCAATAACGTCTTTCACCAAGTTTCCCCTAAAGGTATAAACCTTTCAATGAATTTAAGGTGATGAGGATAAAGGAAATGATCACCAAATTAAAAGGGTTTTAAATCGAGAGTATGCATTTGCAACTGTGTTATTTCGCCTATGATCCAACAAGAATAATCTTTCAAATCAGAGAAACTTTCAAGCGAATGACGATTGAAATTGATATTGCGCTAGTTTTGTTACACTACCGTGATTGGTCGAAAAAAGACTCGCCCTCCCTTTTAACCAATCAGATTACTTGATTTTTCCCGCCCTGATCATTAGATCAGCTCTCATTGTCCACTGGTGATTTATTCCTTTCCTCTGATTGGTTGTTGTCTATTGCTGTCAGTCACTTGTCTGTCCATGATCTCTTAAAGCCACCATACGGCTGGCTGGCGTGGGAGCTTTCAACATTTTGTGACGCAGATATGGATCAAGTATGAAAAAGAATTTGGCAATCGTTACAATCAAAACGTGTGTACCTTTGAATCTATCAACGCTGAACCCTCAGAATCGAATCAAAAGATTGAGTATTAAGAAAATAGACCAGCACATTGTAAACACGGTGCATTTCCTGTACGTATTCTTTCTTAATTCTTTTTCTCTGCGGTTCTAACACTTCGAGAAACTTGGATGAGAGATGCGCGTAATCTTTTCACGATACGAATAAAGGTTATAACAATTACAAGAAGAGCCGCCACGTTCAACGATATAGACAGGCTTGCAAAACGCAAGATATCAAACTGTTATTGCTTCTCATTTTGTTAAGGAGGTCGTATTGATCAAAATTGTGACAATATGGATGTTCTCCTATTATATCAAAGGTGACAGCGGCTGAGGCCAAAACCATCACGAGAATCCAACACACGAGAGTAATCTTTTTGACACTGTGTCGCGTCATGCGTTGATCTAAAGGGCGTGTTACACAATCTTGTCTGCTTATCTCCTTCAGTGATAACGTGAGTACGTTTAATATTATGCAGACATACACTACCGGAACAATTATGAAAGAAAACAATACGTGCATACGTGTAAATCTTAAAACCGTGCCTGTCACGGCGACAAATACCCAACCATCTAAACTCATCAGTGAAGTAAGAAAGCGATATAAAGAAAGATTTACAAACAGGACTTGTGGGACTTTATAAAGATCTTTGCGTTTCCAACACAGAACGCATGCGTGTCTATTGCCAAAAGCACCTGCCAGAGAACCAATTGTTAACAGCGAAATGTCAACAATAATTAGTGCTTGACTGATAGGTGAGGCCTGATGGTTTTCCATCGACGATTGTTCATTTTCATTCTTTGGCCGTGGGTGGAGAGGCAATGACTTTGAAATCCACCTGTCGAGCGAAGGAAAAGGATAAATCAATCTCGTT